AGAGGTTGCCAGTATGGCTGCATCGTCCGCGTAGCCGAATCTGGAGTTTGGATTACCTAGTCGGAATAAGGGGGCTAGGTATAGCATAAACAGGATAGGGGAAACTGGCGAGCCTTGCGGCAGGCCACAGGAAATGTCTGTCTTTGGGCCAATTTCGCCGTCGAGCCGAATTTGTACTGAGCGTCCCGTGGCAAAGGAGGCGATCCAACGACACGGTAACACAGTATTAATATCACAATCAACCGTCGAGTGGGCTCGCATCATGTGATTTCGGCTTATCATCTTATCGCCAGATCGCAGCAATTTTATTTTGTCCGTCTGCCTTCATATTCCATCGATCAACGATCAGGAAATGATGAGCCTGCAGAGTCTCCCGGCGGAGGTTACCCTCCAAATATTCCAATTGTTGGATAACATCGACGATGCGCTCCGTCTGGGACGGTCCTGTCGTCAGCTGTATCGTATCCTAGACCGTCCAGGCCACCGGCACATGATCATGAAGTCCATCATTGTAGGCTCAAGTCTCATAAACCCAGGATCCAAGTAAATAATTATTGACTCTTCATAGCAACGGTCAGAGTATCACAAATACGACCTCCAGCTTTCCCATCTGACGCAGTTCCACGCGGAATGCGCAAAAATCTACGCGACACAACCGCGGCTGCCAATGTCCCGCCGACCGGACACGGACATGGTCAAGTCGTTTCATGAACCGTCCAAAGAACTCCTCGCGTCACCGCTGGCTGTGGCAGAAATCGTCACCAGGTGGCATGCGATGAAGGCCTTGTTTGATCTCTACTGCAAAAAGTCAGTTCGCTCGTCGTATATGGCGAACTGGGAGACATCATGGAACTGCTTTACAGAAACGGACGGTGAAAATGAAACCGCCGGACCATCTACTCAGAGTATTTGCGATTCCTTTGCGCAACTCCCGCTGCAAGAAAAGCAGCGGGCCTACGAGCGGTTCTACCGTGCTCTCACGGCCCATTGGGTCGCCGTGGAGTTGACCTGGGTGATCAGGGTCTCCAAGCACAAAACGGAGAGGGATTTCAAACGCTGGGAAAGGACAGTCTACAATCGATGGTCGAACAACCCACAACGTTCCCTGGAGGAGAAGCTGGACATCTTTGAGATCCTGGACTTCGTCTGGTTCTTCCTGGTGAGCAAGATATTTGACCACTCGGGAACCGTTGCCGACTGGATCGAGGTGGCACTGGAGTCTGCTACGCCTCGTGACCTTTCTCCCCTCGATCTATACCTTTCGCATATTGAGGGCTCAGGACATCCCGCCCAATTGGGGACAGACCATCCCGATGTGCTCGCCGATGACTACACAGGTTGGTTCATAGACGATCTGACATCCATCATCCGTCCACCTCATGTGATCGAACTTCTGCTCCGATTAGCCTGGGATCCGAAGTCTCAGTCTGACTTTGACCGACCGGAATATGTGCGCAAGCTGGGCCTCTTGGACCAGTCTTACCGGTGGGAACAAACAAAGGCAGACGGGTTTCGAACTTACGATGTTGAGCTCTATACCATTGATCTCCCGGATACAGATATTCTGTTGAGCCTGTATGATATGGCATTCCGCGTCCAGGACGAAGAATTGTGGGACCTAATCACGAAGAAATATCGATGGCCCGACAGTGAGATTGATGAGCAGGAGCTGAACAGTGAATGCGCGGAACAATGGGAATGGGACAAGGAGAATCTGTGGAATACCGACATGAGAGGGGAGATTTTCTTCCGCCAAGAGACGCAAACCGAACTATTTGAGCGCTTAATCCAGCTTGAGGGGCTGTATATCATGGGGGAAGGTCTGGTATTCGATCCATTAGATCCTGAGGGGCTGTATCTCATGGCCGATTAGCCTAGAATTGGTCCTGATTATGACATTCATTGTACTCACCCGCAAGCTTCAACTGCACAGCGGAGGAATTTAGAACAGAATCCCGCGCTCCTCATCATACTTGATCACGTTCATGTTCGAGAGCTGCAGCATTCCATCTGACACTCTCACCCGAAGAGATCTACCGAAGTATGGATAAGTGCGAGATGTGGAGAGAGACCTGTTGTTGTGGTCATCAATGGGAATTCGTGCAAAGGACGGGTTGATGGATGCGAACCTACATCAAGAAGATTAGCGCAGCATTGTAAGAGAGGAGAAGGATGGGTCACTTTGATGATTCGAACAAACAAAAATCCAATGTTGAGGAGAGCCCGATCGCAAATCTGTAGGATTTCCAGAGGCTCAGCGAGCAAGATGCAAACCCGAAGGAAACCAGGAACATCTCAGGAGAGCAGAGATTGCTGAAGCTCACCACGAGTCAAACACGCCGTAGAGACATAAGAAGCGAAAAGTGCTTAGGATACAGGTAATGATGGAGAAAATCCCCAAGCAGTAGCATGGCACAACAAGGAGACGGGGCGAAGAATATTGGCACAGTAGGAGGTTGAGGAATCCACACAGATGATCGCAGTGTCCATAAAGAAGAAAACGAAGTGGAGGGGGAGGGAATGAAGAAGACTGCCAACGGAGCCATGGAGTTTTTCGCAGCGACAGAGGCCGATGCCAGGAAGAAATCGTCTTCCAGTCACCAAGAAGGAAAGTGCACGCCTTGGTTATGATCCATCCACATCAGCTGCGGTCCACTAGGCTTGGGACATTTCAGCACGTACGACATTGCGATCGACGACTCAATTTGTGGAATGCTACTGATGTCGCTCTCGATTGCCATCAAACAGCTCTGCGATGGCCATTGCCTTCGTCAGCTCCCTAGCCTCGAAGACAAGTCGGCGGACCACATCAGGCCACACCGACTCTTTGCGAGGTATATTTGGAAATTGACGAGGCTGGGAATCAATAGTCAGTATCAGAAAATGCAGAATCAGCCATGGAAGGATCCCAATGATGAGGAGGAGTCCGCTGATCGTGAAGCCGATGACCAGAGAGGTGATGGAACGCGCTTAAACGCGTCGCGTGCGCGCTTGGTAACATACCGTTTTGCTTCTGATCAGCTTGAATCAGTGAAAGATCCGACGAATGATCGAAGAAGAAGGATTCAGGGATCACGCGACATCATCTAGGTGGACCTAGATAGACGATGGATCTGTCAAAATGGGTGGGGGTCTTCGGGGAAGCAGGAGGTGCAGGAGGATGTCGTTAGCAACTGAATGGCGGCACACCTAGTGCTGCAGGAAAAGCCACCGTGACAGTTTGTCTAAGCAAGCTGGCTTCTACAGTTGCTGCGGTGCTCAAAGATTTGAGATGCTGTTCCAGGCCTCCAGCGGACAATCAATCCTTCGACCAGGACTTTTTCAGTCCGGACGTCTTTTTTTAGTCAGATTGGATCACTAACAGGCAATTCAATTAGTTTGCACGGCGCAAAAGACACAATTTTCACCTTCGCCTTGCAAGACTCTTGTTTGTCAGGGGACGGAGGCTGGAGCCGAGAGGAACGAGATACATCAACTTCTGTAGCGTCCGGGGAACGTCTCGACTTCCGCCGCCAAGTGGGTTTCTCGCTGATCTTTTCCAGAAATTGGTTCGCTTGACTCGTTCTCATTGACGCATAAAGAGGATGTTTGAGAGTCTCATTCATCCCATGTGGCTTCGTTCAAGACTCGAGCTAGCAGCAAGGAGTCGAGGACAGCCAGTAAGGCGACCACAGATTACTGTTTAGGAGCTCCGAAGCGTAGGAACACAAGACGAATCCTACGGTTGCACACTGCACAGGTCTTTTGTTCCTGAGTTCTCCTGTCATCGGCCCGGGCCGTTCGGTTGTCTGTCTGTATGTCGGATTGTCCGGGGGCCTATTTGGCCAACTCGAAAATAGTACTTCAATTTGAGACGCAGCTACAGTCAGTAGCAAGTGGCTCCAAATTTCCACAACGACAGGGGTCCCTTCTTCTCCAGAAAGCCATTACCTGCTCGTATTTTCCGGAAATCGATCGGTGTGGGAAATGATCAGGCGTCTCTAGCGGTTCCAGCCTCCCGCCATCCGCAAGCAAATGAGCAAATGTGACAGAGCAACTTTTGCCGGGACGAGAGCCCCTGCAGGCCTCGTTCCCTCAGCTTTCTGATCTCGGAGCATTCAGATCAACTTCGTGATCTTTTTGCCCGACCTCTCTCGCGCAAGCTTAAATAGACCCCTTCTGCCTCCTCGAAATCGGCTTCTTGATTCCCAACACAAGCATTCTCTGCAATTCTCTTAGGCCTCGTCCACTGCTGCTCTCGCTTCCTCTTCATCGTCTTTCTTCTCTACCTGGGTCTTTCATCTTCACTCGTCGAATCACTCGTCTTTGTCCTTCCTTTTGCTTCTTCGCAAAAAATGACTTCCTCCGACGTTCCGCAGGCTTTTGACAAGAACCGTGTAGAGGCCTTCAAGCTAGCGTTAGCAGGTAAGTTATGTTCGCTGATCTGATCTACCAAAGAGCGTCAACTGATACAGACATACTACTGTTAGATTTCCCAGACGGTCTTACCAAGACGGTAGACTTCGATGCGATCCGGTTGCTCGACAAGGTCCGTGATCACAACGACGACTGGTCGACAAACTCGCGCGCGCAGCCGGTCGCCGCACCTCTCACAGCTCCTCAGCAACGATCAGCGGCACTATTGCATCAGCGGGGAGAGAAGCTTTCCGACGCTGACTGCTGTTCACGCTGTCGAGACAATAAAGGCGTGTGGCAGTCATGCGTTGTCGCACCCATTTACCAGAATAAAGCGCTCCATTCTTACGCATGCACAAACTGCATATATTATAAACGCCCTTCCGACTGCTCCTTGCGCAGCAATTTTCAGGAAAAGGGAGGAAGCGCTTGGGTGTCTACTTCGACGGAGTAGGTGGACTGCCTTTGACGCATCTTGTGGTACCGCATGCTGATTTCAGTCCAGGACCGTGCTTCAGCGCGGCGGACTGCTTGCCGCTATCACGCAGGATAGACTCGAACAGGCTCAACAAGAACGGGCTCAACGAGAACGGGCTCAACGGGAACGGGCTCAACGGGAACGGGCTCAACGGGAACGGGCTCAACGGGAACGGGCTCAACGGGAACGGGCTCAACAAGAACGGGCTCATAAGCGACGTGAACGCGAGTCCGAGTTGGAAACTCTCCCTCGGAGCGGACGACGAACCGAAGTTTCTGTCGTGGTCCATTCACCTGGTCCGGTCGCCAAGAGGTCGAAGACAACAGGCCGCACGCTGGGATGGTCCAAAAAGCTTCTCAAGTCGGACGAGCTCGAGCCGGTCATTACGGTAATTGCCGAGATGCAGGCGTTTCTTGCGCTGCTCATTGCCCACAAAGACGAGTTGGTTATGAAAAATGAAGACGGGTTTTCGGATTCATCGAGCGAGTCGGACGCTTTGCACTCATCAGAGGAGGAATACGATTCGGACTTGTAGGCCTGGGTTGGGTTGAAGAGTTGCGGGCACTCAGAACGGGACGAACGGTTCCGCAATTATACTGGGGACGAGGGTTCTTTCTTTTTCTTCTTCTTCTTCTTCTTCTTCTGTTTAATACTTCTTCGCAATTCTCGAATTGCGAAAAGGTCGTTCTATTGAGCTAGCTGCTTGTTCTTTTTGCTGTTCTTTCGGATTACTCTCCTGGACCCTGTTATTTACATTTCTTTGACTAATGCTTGTTGTCTTGCTTGTTTACTGTTCAAAAGTCTGTTCCAAGTTCTCGTCTTCTGCGCTACAGTTAATCTTTACCATTGTCGTTTTTGGGAAGATGTAAACCCTTGCGAGAGTAATGTTAGCTTCCTATTCCGGATGTGTCTGCATCTCGATCTTGTAGGCCGGGAACTTTCGACTTGGAACCCTCCTCTCGAACAGGATATCCAGCTCCTCGAAGGTTCTCCCTCTAGTCTCCGGGAGACACAGAAAACAGTAAAGGGTACACAACAGGCTCGTCCCCGCGAAGAGGAAGCCCAATTTGCCCTTACAATTCCCCTCGTCCTCGTTCATGGCATAGGGAATGACAACCGCAAAGACAATTGACCAGACGTAGCAACTGACGGTGGCTAAAGCGATGGTCAGCCCACGGAGTTTCACCGACGAGACTTCCGCCAGCAGCACGTAGCAGACCGGACCAAGCGTCAGATCGTAGACGAAATTGCAGACGAGCATAAGTCCGCATTGCGCCCAGGTCGTACTCGTCCGACGCGGAGCGAGATCGATCGCCCCAATGGCGAGCTGCAGCATCATCAGCGACGCACAGCCGCACAGGTACATGGTCCGACGGCCGATGTAAGCCAGCAGAACCCACGAGACGCACGTCCCGGCCAGCCCGATCGCCGTCAGACCAATGTTCATCGAGAACGCATGCGAGGCGTCCAACCCCGCCACCTCCATGAAATGCACGGCGTAGTTGATGAAAAAGACGTTCCCCGTGAACGCCTGCATACTGTACGCCATGACGCAGATTCCCAGCCGGCGGAGATTCGGCCCCCGACCGCAATCCAGATACGTCGGCCGGTCGCCCTGGAAGCTTTCCTCCAGCCGTAACGTCTCCCGGATATGCGCCAGTTTCCGACCCACATGGACCTCCGCCCCCGGAGCGGTGGTGAGCCGACGCAGCGAGACGGCGGCGGCGTCGTCCCGGCCTTTCTTGCAGAGCCAGTAGGGGGGGTCCGGGACGAAGGCGACGAGCAGCAGCATGACCGTCGGGAGGGCCCACTGCGTGGCGATGGGGATCTTGTACGACCACGTGGTGTCCATGGCCGCCGTGCCCTTGAGGATCCCCGAGGCAAGGAGCGAGCCGATCGAGAAGGCGAGGTTGGTCATTGTCGCGACGAATCCACGCAGCACGAGCGGGGTGACCTCGCCGACGTACGCGGAGGCGCAGATGGGGTAGAAGGCGATGATGTAGCCGTTCACGAGCTCGCCGACGAACAGTTGGGCGGGAGTGTGGCTGAAGAACTGGATGAAGATGAACCCGATGGAGAGACACGAGCAGACGGTGATCATCACGCGTGGGCCGAAGCGATCGTAGGCCAGTCCCGACAGTAGAGCGCCTATGATGGCGCCGAGTAGAGTGGCGTAGTTGAAGGCTGACAGCCACCGGGCGGCGATGATGTATGCTCCTTCATGCTGGTAGCCGTAGGTTTGCTTGAAGACGTCGAGTCCGACTATACTGCGCACGATACCTCCGTCCTAAAAGGTCAGAAGGGATTCTTCCAGAAGATTGGCGGGGTGCTTACGATGCCTTTGAGAACGGTCGCCTATCGGGGTCAGCATGATCGTCCTAAGGTCACGAATGTTTCGATTCTCACGCACCAGATTCATAAATGATCCCCAGATCACCGCAGGCCAGTGTCGTCGCAGCGCAACCCAAAATGTCTGCGAATGTTCGTCCTTGGCGAACTCGAGCGACCGTTGAGTGTCGTCGAGGGCAGATGTGGGGATCGACTGCACCAACGCCGTGTATTTTTCAGTCATCGCCATCGTCCCGGACAATCATGAGGGACAACTCGCGCGGGATCAAACATTTTGAATGTCTCCTGCGCATTTTTGAGATTGCGACCACGCTTCACAAGGTCCCTGGCGTCGAATCTTGGCCGTTCGATGATCTCCAATCAGCCGCCCAGTATTCCCGTCGACCTCCGCTTCTGGTCAATCCGTCACCTTGGCAGATCTCCACCGTCGGCGAGCTGCGATGAGAAAGATAACAGACGAGGAAGACTCCGATGTCGAAATAACCGTGTGTAGATAGCCAGATTGTGGTGCAAGGTTCCGGAGGACACACTTGTTCCGCTGAGTCTTGTTACAGCTGCGGAGGGTCTTCTGACGATCTTAAACGAGAAGAAATTAAGCAAAGAGATAGGACTTCTGACGTACGACTGCTTCAAGGTGAATCATAGATTATATCATTGTATATCCACATAGCCAGTTCTCCCAGACTCGTTCTCGTCGTACAATTGGGATGGATAAACGAAGCCCTGCGACAAGGAGAACAGGTGGTGATCACATGACCTGGCTTCGGTCGGGGGCAGTCGAACGGAGCTCTACTTGAAGGCAGAGGAGATCTCCTCTTGGTCTAGAATCGGCTACGGGGAACCTTACGGACTACGAATGACAATTTTCATCTCTGATCGATCAGCTTTATCCCCAGTCGCGTTCAAAGTGATCGCTGAGGACGCAATCCAGATTGATTGTGGACCAGCCACTGAGTGGCTGGAGACTTGGAGGCTGTGCTGGCTGAGTTAAGCGAGATCACGGGACGGACGTCGGAAGCCACACTGTGATGCGCCACACTGGGATCGAGCCACACGACTGCAATTCCTGAGCCCAAATCACATACTTTGTTGCACTCCAGGTTTCCTCTCGAAGTCATCATTCGATTCGCCTGTCTTTGAGACCTTCCTGGGATCGTTCCTGCATACTTAATCTGTACTGTGATGAGATTGGCGCTTAGCACGAGGTACTCCAACCGTCTCTAGCTCGTCCCCCGAGCTTTCCTGAAGAAATACCTTTCACCTCGTTCAATGTTATACTAGAGACATAGCGATAGACATTACATCGAACGGAAGGCTGCAACTATGAATGTAACGGTCGTTTCGTGGTCCATGGCCTGATCGAAGGCTTGAACTCGGAGGACAGTCCAATCTTTATCCAGCCGACAAGCACTTGTTTCTTGAGCAGGAGACAACCGAAGCTTGATCTATACCCCCATGCCTAGGAAGTGTGTCGATGATATTGCTCTACATCGAACTCGATCCGTTAATGTTGTTCTTTGCAGTCCTCTGTCGATGATCGGTCAACTTCGCAACTACTTCCCATTCGCACGACGGCCAAACGAAGATATAAAATGCAGAATAGATCCTTGATCAGAACTCTCATGATCGTCTGAGTAGTCAGAGTACGCTTATCCTGTGCAATAACGTCCCTTGTACCTTCGTGGGTGCCATGTGCCTGTCGGAGTCTTATTATATCTTCGATGCTTATGTCGTTGCGGTATCACGCGCACAAAATATACACTTGACCACGATCGAATGCCACACCATCAACGAACTTGCTAATGGATTCATATCTCCATACTGCATGGCGTACCCAGAAATCAAGAAGTCGTCAAGAGGACTGACAAGTCACCTAGGAAAAAAAAAGCGTGCCTCGGCCATGCAAGATTCCAAGCAATGCCTCAGGACGACGAAGGCTTCACTTGCGTAACACTGTCAGCCTAGCTTCGAGTCTAAGAAGAGAAACCCATCAACTGCAGAAGGGAGCAAACCACTACCGAGGTCGACATGTTGACACCGGCAAGTTCAGAAGCAGCCACGCATCACCGGTGACGTTTAACGGAGCTTCGGACACTCCTTGACCGTCCAGACCTAATGATTTCACTCCTCGCTATTAATCGCGACGTGCCGTTGCCTGTATTTTGACGGATGAGACTCTCCTGAAGGGAATTTATCCTGACATGGAATCATGACAAAGTCTTTGAACACAGCAAGGAGCACAGCTTGCAGTCTCATACTTGATCGAGCACTCAAGACCAGAGACATGGACCCTAGATTTTGAATTTTCATGTCCTTCTGTTTGAGTGTAGGACCCCTAGTATCATTCGCTAGCACCCTTCAAATCCCTCGGCATGTTCGACGACAATCCTCACATCACTTAGGACCTGCTATTGGTGGATGGTCAATAGAAGCTCAAAATGTTTTGAGCAGAACTAGGACGCCAAGGGAGGCAATTTCACCTTTTAGCTGTCTTCAGTCAAGAGTTAAGTTACAATGTGAGCCCTAACAACCCCGTGAAATAGACAATTCAATTGACAACAGGTAGTTGGCGATGGAAACATTGAGTGACACGGGGAAAGCGAGGCAGGCGGGGGAGAGAATATGTAGAAAGCAGAGGGGCGAGAGGAATTGCGCCAGAAGACCAGAACGTTAGCAACACAGGAATGTCGAGAGACCAGACGGGGCCGTCTGTCTCCTAGAAAGAGCCCTCAAGCATATTGCATACCAGCTTTGTGCTGCAGAGTCTTCCCATCGAACTTGAACCTCAAACCCAAACACCTCCCATGTTCTCACCAGGGGTTTGTGGCACCCAGCTGCACAAAAATATATCCTCGACGTACCTTGATGCTGAATCTTCTCGAATGCCTGGCCGATATAACCCTCGGCTAGAGAGTCCTCCAAATACTTCCACGAAGATATCCACCAGTGTCCTCGTTGTTCTACAAAGATCCACTCGAGGCCACACTTGCCAGAGGATGAAGACAACAGCTTTAGCACCCGTGCGGATTTGCAGCCAAAAAACACCCTGCTGACCAATAGAGACCTTTATCTCCCAAGGGTTACTGGTAGCGACTACAGCACATTTTCTCAATCTCGCCCGAGCTTGTCTATTCCAGCTCAGCCATCAGCGGGCCTCTCGTCAACGAGCCGTTGCGCCTGGATACCGACGATCCTGAACCGGGACCCCGAGGACCCAAATCAGGCCCTCCATCCGGATTCTCCAATACAACATTCGGAAAATCGCCAACATCGGCATGACATCGCTTTCCCTGGACCCGACTGCGCAATCAGTCATCGGACCAGAAGCCCGGTACCACTTGCTGCCTTGCACAATTCGTCAGGGAAGCCGTCGATCATTCCATATCATATGGCCAGCCGCGAGATTGGGCACCCTGTACACTTGCTACCTGCGCTGGGGGCTGTTGTCTGGCAGCCCTGGAGGATCCCAGAGGCGGCATCGATCAGCTCCATCGTACGGCCTCGTAGGTCGATGTCAATTAGTCGTCGAAAGACGCATCTGAGCACGGGCGGTGGACTTCATTCCCACGAGGGCTATCATGGCTGTCGAAGACTCTGACTACGAGAGAAATCCACTGGCTATCCCGTCCCCGTCAATCCCTAACCTCGAACTCCATATTCGGCATACTGACCGCCGCTTGGTCAACCCTACCACCGCGATGAGTGCAAGCTTATTGAACATGCCAACCGCACGATTTGAGAGACCGGAGACGCCATGATTGCCCACTGAAAGTTCTCCGCGGGCCGAGTGCAACCCAGAAGAGACGTCATCTTGCAAGCCGACAGCCTGGAAGACGCTGAGCGGCTTACCACAATAACGTCAAGCATAATGAAGTCTTCTAATTTGCTGTTCCTGAACTATACGTCTCATGCTTGAAATAATTAAATGAGCCTTTGCAGAGGTGCTCATCACATCATGGCCGGTGAAACGTCCAGTGTAGGTGGTTGATCGTTCGAGGCGTCCCCCTCATAGTCCACAAGCAAGAGTGCTTCCGCTCGTTCATGAGTATTGTCATGCATGATAGTGGCACATCCTTCCGGGAGAACCATACTCCCTGGCTTGTTTCTCTTGAAAGCTATAAATCTCCAAGTGATACCAATCTGAATGAATGTGGCTCCGTGATGAAGCAGCACATGAATCATGAGTATGCTGCGTGGTAGAGTGGTGTAACGCCCCAGGAAGCTTCAGACTGCACGTTTGCCGTTTGGCAAGGGGGTATTGAACTTTTTGCCGCAGCCAGCAGAGCGTCATCAAGATGCACCTTATACTATGCGAGTACTTGCTTGGGGTATCCTTCATCAACAGTTTGACAATGGTAAGATCTCCTTTCTTAGTAATGCTCAGACCTGCGTGAAACCCTCGTGAGCAAGACCTTAGCAGCAGGTGAATATCCGTGCTCCGCTGTAAGTTCGATGAGAAGATACTCAATCGTGGCCACCTGACCGTGTCGTGCAGCGACATGAACCAGAGCTTCCGGGGGTGGAAGTATCGATTAGTTCCCCATAATTCACTGAGATCTCTCGGAGATTCCATATATATCCTGCAATGAGCAGAATCAACAACGTGGATAAATCAAGAATCGACACATCGAGATGTTTACTCCGTAAATGGTATCGATGGCACAACTGCCATTGACACAAGTCAATGCAACCGTGGAAAGATGAGACGGACTCAGGCGGCCACCAAATCACTCCTGAATCAGCTCGTGGTTGTGCAGATTCGTCAGTACGGATAGTCGTTGGTCTTGATTCGATTCGAACAATAGGCTGTCGCCAGAGTTCTCCGTTCAGCGACTTGCAGGCCGCAACATCTAGTCTTCGCGTGTGTGATGCCATTCGAATCACAAAGAAGGCGGGAAGGTCCGCATGCTTCAGTTGATTGGGACTCGTACAGAACTCCTTGAATGGGTTATGATTCATGTAGTAGGATGTGCTCTAGGTTTCAGAGTGTGTTTTGCGCCGCATCAGCGCATGTGGGTTGTTTGTCTGGTCTGAACTGTCTTAGAGTCCAATGATGTCTTGAGTAAGACATTTCGTTGCGTTCAGTGTTGCTGAGATTTGGTCATGACTCGTGATCCTTTACTTGTTTCCACTGGATTGCTCCCTCTGTGTTATCTACCAAAAAACCTGGCAGTTCAACCAATCAAGGCCCGGGTGGTCTAGTGGTATGATTCTCGCTTAGGGATTAACCCAAGCATATCTGCGAGAGGTCCCGCGTTCGATCCGCGGCTCGGGCCAGCCTTCATTTTTTTTTCCTCCTCGTTTCGGCCGCTTTTTTTTCTATCTCGAGTTACAGAAAAATTAGCGACACTCCCGTTCCGCGGTGTTTACTTTTGTGGCCTCCCAAAGTCTAGCTCTTCGACGGCAGTACCGGGTATTCTTGCGACGTCTCAAAGGTACACGATGGCGAGACCTTTTGTGGTATATGTGCGGCTGTGTGCGAACCGACATAGACCTATATCAGGCTCGGCAGAGTTAGCGGACTCAGCCACGATGACGTCCTTCTATGTTGGATGTGGTTAGCTCTGTGCTGCGAAATATCAGCGGAATACTCCGGCTCTGATGCAGGGCAATGGACGACGCCTGTGAAGACCTGACTTGGAGAGCCTGGACTCCTGGTGGAGATTTGAAAGGGCTCTTCGTGTGCCATCCCTCTCCTTGAGTTGTTTATTCAGATCCTCGCTGAATGATAAGTCACCTGCCGTGAAGCAATGCTGAGTGCTCTCTAAAGCGCTGATGCGGTCGACACTTCCTTGAGCCATCATTGCTGACAACCCATGGATTGTGTCAAACAACGACCCTGGGCACTGCTACATGGATGTCTGTGAGGGTTGCCCAAAAGGTATGTAACATCTTTGCATACAACATGTTTCATGTTTCAGGAACAAAGTCAAAGAATCTCTACCCTTTAGCTAATCCCGCCCCATGTACGCGCTGTCAAGCACTTTCCCACGAGGATATCGAGTCTGCGCATCGTCACGTCCCATCTCATCTCCCACAGCCGAGCATCCAACACCTTCCTATTCTTCGACACCTTCAACCATCCGCTACCGGTGTGGGCGAGCAAGTTCTACAACCTGATGCCTACATCGCCGCAGAAGTTCAATATGAGCCAGCCTGTATCAGGGATTGAACCAAGAATAGCGGTGTTTGTGAACTCGTAGACGGCTGATCACGCGCCCCCCCCTTCCCGGGTGGCATCATGGATCCCTGCGCAATAGAGGGACAGCTCCCTCAAGCCCCTTGCTGGAATCGGTACGATTAGTTTATCTTGAAAGAGCAAGCGAGTCCGAAGTGTGACGCCGAACACGCCAACAACAAAGGCACTGCAGGAGCTGTTGACCTCGATACTGCGCCGAATGTGAGAAAAAACCGCTGCCACCTCTTCGTCGTCGGGCTTTAGTCTGGCATCCCCGCCAGCATGACCCCGCCACCAACACGGTGGCGTACGTGGTCCAGGAGAAGGCGGACCTGCTGGCTCGTCAGTTCTTCCGGGCCCCCTGGACGCCGATCTGGATGATCTTCGGGGCTCCGACACCAAACGTCTCGTGGAAACAACCAAGGTCAAATCAAGAAAGCCAGAGGGTGCAAACAAAGGAGAGAGATATATTAAGGAAAGGTGGAGGGGAGGGGGAAGCCGTCTCGCAGACCTCTGTTTGGTGCTTGACGGCCCTAGGGCCTTTCAGGGGATCATATCAACGCCGTGCCATGAGGTCTCCCCCACGGCCTGAGTGCCGGATACTGAACTGTCTTCTATCTCAATGCTCATCCGGGCCAGGAGAGTCGCTATTGCTGTCGCTATCTCCTAGCTGCGTGTGTTTCCCTGTGACTGCCTTGAATTGCCCAGCAGCCCTATCTGTACCATGAAATCCGCGGCCAGTTGCGCGGAATCTGGTTCAGAGACCATCGTTTTGTAGTCGTCATGTCGGTGTCTTAGGCGCCAGAATGACATCTCTGGCTTAGAGATCGTGATGCTGATGATGTCGTCATGCGAAAGCGGCATCATGCCCTTCCTCGTGAACGTCGTCACCTCGATGTCCAGGAACAAGGGCATGTACAAATCCGCGGTCACGATCATGCGCAAGCCCTCCTTCGCCAACCTGGACCAGATGTTGCTCACGTACTCGGGCTCGCCCCTGATCATGTCCTCGGGGTCGATCCAGCTCGCGATGATGACCTCGCCCAGGCTCAGCGCCTCGTCCATGTCCATTTTCCTGAGCTTCTTTGTGACCCTGTACATCCTCATGTTCGAGTCCGAGCACAGGAGCAAGATCAAGCCCATGGTCGAGAAGCAGTCCGTGCACGTCTCCATGTTCAAGTATGCGTCGCGTAGAACCCATTGCATCTGCGTCATCTAGGAACACGGTCATGGACTTGCCGCCGGACTACTACTACAACGCCACAGCCCTGGACGTGTCGACAGCCAAGGTGGTGATCGAAGACGACTGCGTGTTCATCAGGGATACTTCCCACTGTGGGGCCTGGCTTCAAACAAACTCGGGGTCTTGGATAAGAGGTTGGTCGACTGGGCGGTCTCGAGGAGATGCATCATCACGGACAGGATCTCGTACTACGTCTACTGCAGGAACATTGCCTCGTGGTCGCAGATGGAGTCGATCAACGCCGTGTGCGAGCTCCTGGAGACTACTGCAACCGACACCAACGCCGCGGTCAGCTACACGAAGGCGCTCATCAAGTTCTACCGTTGCTGTCCAGGCACACGAACATGCGCATCGCCAAGAGCGTCCGCATCGACATCAGAGGACCCGAGCACGTAGTTGACCATGTAGCTCAACACGAGGAGAAAGATCAACTCGTACGCGAAGACGTGTCACAACCTGAACAAGAGGTGTGCCATGTGCTCGAAGGAGATGCAGCCCGAGGTCAACCTCTGCGCCGAGGGCACGCGGGGTAACATCTGCATCATCAAGCCCATGAATCAGAACCAGATCGCGTTCAGCGTCAACATCTCGAAGCCGAGGGGCGGCTCGCGCACGTACATCAACGTCAAGCCGTTCATCACCGTGGTCACGAGGATGGATGTGTGCGACAGCTGGCAGAAGAACGGGCAGAGTGCCTCAGACGAGCACGAGAACGGCTTCAGAGGCGTGGTCACGGCCTCGAAGACGTATCCGACCCTGTCCGACCCTGTTCGAACCCGCGCAAATCCACACGTTCACATCCTTCCGGAAGAAGGAGGAGTAGCAGATGGACGTGATGATGTACGTCAAGATGAACAAGCCGAAAACCATGAAGGCGCTTGCCGTGCCAGCTGCAAGACCGACATCGAGTTCTACTCCAAGCCATAGCTACGAACAAGTTCGCGAGGATGCTCGCGTTGATCCTTGGGACTGGGTTGTACCCCGAGATCACAGAGGAGGAGATGAAGTACATCACAGCCTCAGAGCTGGGCCACGTCGCGGACTTGCTCGATATTAGGGACGCCTTCCCGTATAGCGATCGGTACTACAACCCAATCAACAACGTGGACCCGACTATGCACACATTCAGGCGGCTGGTCAACGACGGGTTCAGAATCTTGCTGATCGGCCCGCACTTGGACGCCCTCGTGACCAGGATCAAGCACTCAAAGCACTATGAGACACGTTCGAGAGAATGCACAAGGACCTCTATGCGCTCATGTTCGCGAACAGGCTGATACTCTGGATCGTGTGCCCACAAAGGAACATGGAGGAGATGATGGAGGTCATGAACAAGGCGATGCCCACGCACGGGTTGTACGACGTGCCTGAGGAATTCGACGACATCTTCGGTGCTTCGATTGGGTGGCTCGGCATCAACGCGAGCCCGAGCTACGAGACACGTGTGTACTTGTTCGACCAACCACTGTTCAGAAGGCGAATGCGTGACGAGGTCGCTTCGCGCACATCGACGCGATCAAGGACCCGTTCTACGTACATCGACCTGTAGCAGAGAAGTACACGCCGGACGACGGCGGACAGCGGCATGTTGACCTACCTCTCCACGACGGCGCCCAGAGGTACGTTGAGGTTCAACTACGCGGTCATGCCCGACATCGAGGAGCTCAACAAGCGCAGGAGGGGGATCAGGTACACCACCAACTCCACGATCGAGGACATCTTCGGGGACCGGATCATCCACGGACCACATCGACTCGATCACGCAGATGAATCCCTTGCCGTCGGTGGAGGACTATGAGCCCGTGTTCAAGTACATCCACGTGCCGCTCTTCTGGTCGAAGACATGAACATGAACTTGTTGATCAACCCGGTGGCGTTCGAAAATGGGAACAGGACCTTGAACAAGTAGCACAACACGATCATCAACACGTACATCTGCATCAACATGGACTTTAAGAGGAATGAGACCATGCACATGATCTGTATCTGGTGCGAGAAGGTGAGCACGCACTCAGACTTAGACCTCAAGAGGATGAATGACATGAACATGAAGCCAAACAAGAAGATGATCAATGTTGGCACTATAATCATGGCGTGCACCTCGTGCATGAACGACCTCAAGCTTAACCATATGCCTCGGGATGAGCTCATGAAGATGGAGATGAACTTGTACAAGCGCATGGTTGAGAGGACACTTGCGATCTCGAGCTCGGTCTGGTGCACGAACGAGAACATGTATGCGACCATGTAGAGGTTTAATCCTGTGTACATGCAGAAGCCCGAGAAGATGTTCATGGCCAAGAGTGTAAACAAGACCATGAGCTTGCGCATCTGCACGGATAAGAGGAACACAAAAGTCATGACCCCAAGCGTGATTGAGTACAGGAAAAAAGTCGCGAACAAGATCGCGTTCATGAGCCCCGCCGTCCACGCCTACGCGTTGATGAGATGACTACAAACCAGACCACCAGCAGAAGTAAAGCATGACTGCGTATCTGCACATGTTTTCAGCATGTATAAGTTGATCTACACGTCCAGGGTCACGGTCACGTCTGCCTCCTCGCTGTCGTCCGTATAGATCTGCTTGATCGAGTCTATTTCTCTGTTGTTGAAGGTGTTGGGCCTGTACATGTGCATGTACGTACACCTTTGAGCTCACGCTGATGCTCATGACCCTCTCCCCGTCCAGATCTTGGGCGAGTTGGCGCGCGCCCTCTTGATTAGGTACGCGTTGACCCTTTTGGACGTGTGCAGATGCATGAACCTGCTGTGGCCGAAGATATACTTCATGATCATGTATGGCATCTAGTTTATGATCATGCTGGCGGACAGGGCCGAGCTGGGGACTGCGTGGAGGTTGGTCTTTTTGACTTGAACTTGCCTACACAGACAGAGCAGTACACGACCCTGAACGTGTTCATGGGCTTAAGTGGAATGTTATTCTCATCCACAAAGTTGAGCAACCCCTTGTCTGTGATCAGGACTATCCTCGCGCAGAGGAGGCAGCACACGAACCTGACCGTATAATTGTTTGTGTTTATTGTCATGTCTCTGTGCTTGTTTATGTTGATGACTGAGGTGATGCCCGTGTCAAAGATTGAGTTGAGCTACGTGGTCAGCTAGCCCTACGCCTTTTTGAATGTGTATATGTGCCTGAACGCGGTCGTGACTATCTATGTCCTTGAGATTGGGTGTGGGCACGAGTAGCCCCTCGTGGGAAACTCCATGTGGGCGCTCATGATGACGCCCCTGAGCCTCCTCATGTCCGCGTTCACATTCTCGATCTCGAACTGCAACCTGACCAAGGACGCCATCATGTTCCCCTCCATGACCGTGATAGCCTCCGTGCTCAAGGATGTGCTTGTGCTCGCGTTGGTGACCATGCAGGTGATCATAGGGCTGCATCCGCCCGGCCGCCAGACTGCGTCTGCCCAGATGTACATGTCCGTGGTCATGATCTCACTCGTGTCGATGTTCGCGTAGTCGATGATGCTCCTATCACACACAGCTCATTCGTAAGAAACATACGGTAGCCTTGGATGCGAATACTAAGCTTGAGAAAGAAGAAGAAGAAGAAACAGAAAGAGGGAAGGAAAGAGAGGGAATCTATGTACAGCTTGAGCGTGAGACATCTTGGTGCCGTTGGTTGTACAAAGCAAACGGAAAATCCCCAACAGAATCTCTCGATATGGAATCACTTCAAGATGGCGGTCAACAGTCTGGTACGGCAGAATGTGAGCAACCTCTGAGAGGGCTGTCACAGCTCCCTGATGATGACCCCGAACGCGAGCACGGGCAGGCCGACCTTGATGCACATGTCCGTATTCGACCTCATGGCGATCTGCTCGGTCACGTACATGCGAGGGATCTCGTTGATCTTCATGTCGCCGATTATGACCAAGTGGCAGTTCGAGACTGAGCTCGTCTATCCAGTCGCCTTGTCGACAATGTACGCGGTCATGATCTCATTCCTGCACCTAGGATCATACGACTGCTTCCCCTGGAACAAGAACATGATCCCGACCATGTTTGTGTGCATCTGCATGCTCATGTGGAGGTTCCCGTCCTCGCCCAGCTCCGTGGGCAGGGTCCACATCTCAGACTCGAGCTCGTGCTTTGTCTCGTTCGCGTCGATGTACGTCAACTTTTCCTTGCTCTGCTCCCTGATCACAGCAACATCTGTGGATGTCCACTCAATGCTCTTCACGCCCGAGTCGATCGGCACGACCCTGACCATGTTGATGCACGCGACGAGGCAGCAGCTGCCTGGATGTTGCTGAACACGAAGCTCTGCGACGTCAGCTTGCTCTTTACTTTCATCATGAAGTTCGTTGTGAGGCCGTAATGTGTGCGTCGTCAGGTAGATCTACTCTGAGTCACTCAACTCCAGGCTTGTGTCTGGCTTAAAGAGGAGGTTGATCTTCATAAAGAAGTCTATGTCCTTAACCTTCCTTAAGCCTATGATTAACTTCTCATCCATCGGACCATCTCCATAATGATGTCCCCCTACTTGATCTCAGATAAGAAATTACACGCCTTCTAGATTAGGAACATACTTCTGACTAGATAGATCCCTAGGTTCTTATCCAGGCCTGTGTGTATAGAGGCCTTCTTATACTAGTCTATGTACATAAGTACAAGGGGTGAGTGGCGGCGCGCGCGCCTGCGCGCGCCGCCACATAAATTCCCTTAAAATTCTAATATGTAGACTAAATTATCAGGCAAAAATTCATATATATAATACTAGTAAGTTCACACCCCCTTAGCATGGTGAAAACCATTGCATTATAGATTTTATAGATATATATGTATATTAAGTATACTTATAGTTGTAGTATATTAATCTTAGATAGTCAAACTAGGGGACCTGCAGCATAGTAGTAGTAGAAGCTATATAAAACTATAGTGCACTAACCTAACGCCAACCAAAAAATATATATATATATATATAATACTTATGCTTGAGTGCTGAACTAGCCTAAAAGAGATTAGTAGGCTATATATAAGATAAGGTGCTTATAGATACTGAATGCTGCTATTAATAAATTCTGCTATTAGAAGTTGCTACTATTAAGTCAGTTACTATTATAAAGATTACTAAAGTATATATAGATATAAAAGTTATTTCTAGTTAATAAAGAAGCCATGGGTTAGTAAATAGAGGGATATAGAAGACTTACTATCAGGATATATTAGGGGCTAAAGGATAGTTTTACTAGACCTAAATTAAGTAATAGGTGTTGTGAGCAAGGCCTGCAATATGCTTGTGCTGCCTAGCACTTGTGATATAAAGTAACTTATGAACTAATAGCCCAGGTTATATAACCTCTTGCTAGCTGTAGTATATAATTAGATATTTCTATCTAGGCCTATATGTTACGGGCTAGGCCGTAGGTAAACCTATGACTAGGTATGTACAATAAGAACTCGCTGAAGAACTAGAATAGGAGGTGCGCGCGGTCTGGATAGAAATATCCGATTGCGCGCCGCAGCTAGCAAGGTGTCACGTGACCCAGAGCTGTACGGCTTCGCGAGTGCCTGCTAGGCGGCACGAGCATATCGCGGGCCTTGCTCGCAACACTATAGACCCCCTATTCTAGTTCTTTAGTAAGTTCTTATTATACATACCTGGTCATAGGTTTCTCTACGGCCTAGCCCATAATAATAGGAGTGTATATGCATAGCAGAGGCTATACTACTAAGTATAAAAGTACTAAATAATTAATACGAGTCCTGTAAAACTATTATTAAGTAAGGACTAAGAAATAAAGAGCTACTTTATTACTATAAAAGAAGCTAATATCTAACAGAGCTTACTTATACTAAAGTATATATCCCTTTCTTTTTTTAGTAATATCTGTACTATTAGTAGTGCCTAAAAGAGTTAGTAAGGGATAAATAAAATTAGTAGATAGGGCTATTAGGCTAGTCTTCTATAGAGATAGGAGTTAGAGAGTAAGAATCTATCTTAAAAGGCCCCCCTTATATAGTATCCTATGTTGCGAGCAAGGCCCGCGATATGCTCGTGCCGCCTAGCAGGCACTCGCGAAGCCGTACAGCTCTGGGTCACGTGACACCTTGCTAGCTGCGGCGCGCAATCGGATATTTCTATCCAGACCGCGC